TAATACAAATCAACCGTTCTACAAATTTCCCCCTTTTAACCGTAATACAAATCAACAATTCTACAAATTTCCCCCTTTTAACCGTAATACAAATCAACCGTTCTACAAATTTCCCCCTTTTAACCGTTATACAAATCAACAATTCTACAAATTTCCCCCTTTTAACCGTAATACAAATCAACCATTCTACAAATTTCCCCTTTTAACCGTAATACAAATCAACCGTTCTACAAATTTCCCCCTTTTAACCGTAATACAAATCAACAATTCTACAAATTTACCCCTTTTAACCGTAATACAAATCAGTAATTCTACAAATTTACCCCTTTTAACCGTAATACAAATCAACCGTCCTACAAATTTACCCTTTTTAACCGTAATACAAATCAACTATTCTACAAATTTCCCCTTTTTAACCGTTATACAAATTAACAATTCTACAAATTTCCCCCTTTTAACCGTAATACAAATCAACCATTCTACAAATGTCCGAACCTTCCATAAGATACTGACTACAATGTTTCACTCTGATTACTTAACCGGAATATATAATGAGCATAATACACAGATATAATACGTCTAAAACAAGCAGAATTATTACAATTTCATATCTTATCAAGTACAACAAGTAGAATTTTAAAAAGACAATTTCTACATTTTAAAGTTATTTCATTCTATTGGATTATTATTGTAACGAGGTCTTTAACATTGGAAGTAGTTGTAGGATGGATTGGAATTAATATTTTTTTTTAAATGTTGATTGTTTGTTTGTTTGTTTGTTTATTTATGTTTAACGGCCCATCGACGGCTGTGGTCATTTAGGGCCATGGTGATTTATTTATTTATTTTACTTTTTTAACAAACATGTGAATAGCGAAGATAAAATCAGATAAAATGGTTCATTTTAAAAGTATTCGCATTGTATGTGTAGATAATAAAAATAATAAAAGGGGGTTAAAATAATAAAAGAGATAACGAATAGATGATATGGAATATGCGATATATATATAACGTCAAAAAGGATAAGGTGGGTTAAAAGACATCAGAGTCTATAAAATAGACCGATGTCTTTCAAATAGTTAAATAATGCCTTCGAATCCACGGAACTGAAAAGTGTTTTCATATCCGGGACTCGGAAGTAGTTATCACGAATGTGTTTAAAATCGGAACATTCTATTAAAAAATGCTCCACTGTAAATGGAGTGTCACATGCGTGGCATGAAGGTATATCTTCTCGTTTTAAAAGGTACGAATGAGTAGGATATGTGTGCCCAGTGCGGAGCCGAGCGAGGACAACTTCCTCTCTACGATCTTTCCGACTGGGAATAGATGTTTTAAGTTTCGGTTGTATCTTAAAAAGTTTGTTGTTGGTCTCCAGAGACCAGCGTTTCTGCCATTCATTTTGAATGGCTGTACGAATAGTAGGTTTAAAATCTGTGTATGGTAGTTTGATATTTGTTTGTTCGAGATTCAATGCATTTTTTGCTTCCCTGTCAGCAAATTCGTTGCCTTTTATTCCGACATGGCTCGGAATCCATAGTAAAGTTATTTTAGACTTTTTTAATATACGAGATATTCGAAGAGCAAGGTTTTGTACGATTGTGTTTTTAGGATCTCGTAACTGTAAACTCTGTAGGACAGATAGAGAGTCTGAACAAATAATTGCCTTTTTAATGCGGTGTTCATCGATATGGTCGAGGGCCAAACCAATGGCGCATGCTTCAGCAGAAAAGATGGAGGCGCCGTCTGGTAGTCGGACTGAAGTGCAAGTATTGGCAGTACAGCAGGCTGCTGCCACTTTCTCACCTTCTTTGGAGCCATCGGTGTAAAGTTGTGTATGAGAAGGGTAATTCGAAATGCATTCCCGAAAGGAGGATTTGTGTTCTTCGGGCATAACACTTGATTTCCCTCGCTCATGTAATGTAAAGTTAAAATCGGGGGTTTGAATGGTCCACGGAGGAACATCAGATATGTTAAATTCAGCTATGTCCGTCAATTTTATGTTGAGTTCTTGCAGGAAATTCAAAATTCGGATACCAAATGTTGGCAGAAGTTTTTGGTTTTGCGTAAATATGTTTTGGTATTTGGGGTTGAATACTTGGTTGAAAGCAGGATTTTTAGGGTTTGATTTTAATTGAGTTGCAAATTGTAATGAAAGTTTTATTCTTCTGTCATAAAGGGATGGTTCATTTGCTTCCACGTACAGGCTTTTTACAGGTGTTGTTCGAAAAGCTCCCAGGGCAAGACGTAGCCCTTGGTTATGGATTGGATCTAGCATCTGAAGGTACGAACTGCGCGCTGACCCGTATACCATAGAACCATAATCCAGTTTTGTTCGAATAAGTGATCTGTATAGGCGCAAAAGCATTTCACGATCCGCTCCCCAATCAGTATGAGAAAGGACTCGTATAATGTTTAACGCCTTGGAACACTTATCCTTCAGATACTTTATATGTGGTATGAAAGAGAGTTTCGAATCAAAAATGAGGCCGAGAAATTTAGTCTGTTCAACAACAGGAATTCTAGTGCCATCGAGTGTTAGATTTGGGTCATTGTGTGCTTTTCGTTTTTGACAGAAATGCATGCACACAGTTTTGGATTTAGAGAATTTGAAGCCGTTTTCGTCTGCCCAATTTTGTAGTTTGTTTAAACTCTGTTGAAGTTGTCGTTCTATCGTGTGCATGTTCTTAGATCTGTAACAGATCAAGAAGTCATCCACAAATAGCGACCCTTCTGTTGATTGACCAAGACATTTGACTATATCATTTATTTTAAGTCCAAACAGTGTGACTGATAGGATTCCACCCTGTGGGACTCCCATTTCCTGTTTAGACGTTTCAGAAAAAGTTGAACCAACACGGACTTTGAAGTGTCTATCTGATAGGTAATTAGATATAAAATTGGGAAGGTTTCCACGTACGCCAAGGTCGTGAAGATCTTTCATGATGCCATACTGCCATGTAGTATCATAGGCCTTCTCAAGATCGAAGAACACAGCGACAAGGTGTTCTTTCTTGGCGAAAGCCTCTCGAATGAACGTCTCTAATCTGATGAGATGGTCATTTGTCCCTCTTCTATTTCTAAAGCCACTTTGAAGAGGGGATATTATATCGTTGGCCTCAAGAAACCAAACCAGTCTAGTGTTTATCATTCGTTCTAAAGTTTTACATACACAACTAGTCAGAGAGATAGGACGATAGTTGTTTGGGTCAGTAGCATCCTTTCCCGGTTTTGGGATAGGTATAATTGTGGAGTTCTTCCACGAATCGGGAATCTTTCCGGAAGCGTAAACTTGGTTGAATATGTAAAGAAGGCATGTTAGTGAAGAGTCCGGTAAGTGCTTTAGAAATTGATATGGAATATCATCAGGACCTGAAGCAGTGTCCTGTGATTTTCTAAGCGAATCAACAAGTTCTGGTAGGGTAAATTGTTCATTATAACTTTCTTTGTTTGATGATTTGAAATTGAGCCGTTTCTTTTCTCTCTTTTTTTTCAAAGACTGGAATTTTTGGGAGTGGTTTAGAGGGGATGAGTTTTTAGCTATGTTTTTTGCAAATGCATCAGCAATTTCAGTTATAGACGAGAAAATTTTGTTTTTATTAATGAGGTGGGAGGATGTTGCCTTTTTCTTTTTCCCACTTATTTTCCGAATCATATCCCATACTTTTTTTGAGGACGTGTTTGATGATATCTTGGATACATATTCTCTCCAGCTGTTTCTTTTGTCAATTTTAATTGATCGCCGAGCCTTTGCCCGCCAAATTTTAAATTCACTGTAGTTTGAAGCAGTTGGGCAATTGAAGTAGCGTCTTAGAGCAGCTGCCCGATTACTGCGTGTTTTAAAAGATTCTTCAGATAAAAGGAACTTCGTAGGTTTTGGAGCGGATTTTGGAATTGTCTTTTGGGCAATAGAAGTGAGTGTTTCAGTAAAAGTTTTGATAGGGTCGTCGAGGTTAGTAAAATTGTCTATGGTTAGTTTTTCAATGCACATGTGTTGGAATTGGGCCCAATCTGCTTTGTGCATATTCCATCGAGGTAGAGGATCATCAAGAGGAGTCCCAATATTCTGAAGAAAAATTGGGAAGTGGTCACTCCCACAAAGATCATCATTTACCCTCCAGTCATAGTCAAGTAAAATGGATGGATGGCATAATGATAGATCAATGTGGGTACGAGAGCCTGTAGCAGGGTGTAAATAAGTAGGGGTATTGTTGTTAAAAAGGCACAAGTTGTTTTTATCTATAAATTCCTCAATACGTCTTCCTCTCTCGTCTGTGTTGGGAGAGCCCCACAGGCTATTATGACCATTAAAATCACCGAGGATTATGAATGGTGTTGGGAGCTGGGAGACGAGATTATTGAGTTGCTCACAAGTGAAAACAATACTCGGAGGGAGATAAATTGAACAGACAGTTATTTGTCGGTGTAATGTTGCACAGACAGCAACAGCCTGTAAATTTGTGTTTAACTTGATCATTCTGTGAGGAATATTTTTATGGACAGCTACCGCTGCGCCACCTGCTGCTCTGCTAACTACAGTTGGAATATTAGTGTAGAGTGAGAAATTTCTAAGCGTGATTGGGTTTTTGAGCATGATTTCTTGAAGACAAAAAATGGCGGGTCTAAATTCTTTTGATAGATTCTGAAATTCTTCTATATTTGCCTTTAATCCGCGGATGTTCCATTGGATAATTGTGTTATTTATCTTTTGTTATTTTGGCTGGATTTCGATGGAGTTGAAGCACGAAGCGCGGAGGCATTCGTCTCCATCTCATCATCGAAATCTAGTAGGACATTGAACCGGTTTGTCGGGTCCTCTGATCCTTTGCCAAAGGTGACATTCAGATCCGGTCCTTCGGATTTGCCCCTCGCTATTTTAATTTTTTTCCTAGGTCTGTTGGTGGGTGATGTTGTCTCTGGTTTCAGTTGGGATCGAGGAACAGATGTGAGTGAGCGAGATCGCTGCGAACGCACATGTGCCCTAGATGTGCCAACCTTTGGAGGGTTTTCTCCTGAAGAGGAAGGTGTTTTTGATGGTGGTGCTGGTTTTGATTGTGGTGCTGGTTTTGATGAAGGTGCTGGTTTTGATGAAGATGCTGGTTTTGATGGTGATGCTGGTTTTGATTGTTTGCTGTTTTTGGTTGGTTTTCGAAAAGTCGTGAAACGGGATGGGTCCCCCGTGAGGATTTTCAAGTTCTGTTGACCAGCCATGTCTGGGACTTGTGAGCCCCAGGCAGGTATGTCTTCAGAAACTTGAACCGAAGCATCCTTGACCGTGACACTGTCAACCGGCGCCTTGCCTCGAGTCACTTGTGCGTAAGAGGGTGTAGCAATGTCTGCACTCCCGACTATCCTCCTGGCCTCGGGGAAAGAGACACCTCGGGTATATTTAACCCGTAATATCTCCCTCTCCTGGCTCCAGGTAGGGCAGTCGCGAGAAGAGGCAGCGTGCTTCCCCTCACAGTTGACACAGCGCAGGTTGGCGATGTCACAGTCATTTTGCTCGGTGTGACCCTCACGGCCACAATACTGGCAGATCGATTTTCGTCTACATCGCTTTTCGTGATGACCGTACTTCTGACAGTTTCGGCATCGCAATGGATTTGGGATGTAGACGGAAACGTTGTACCTCTGGTATCCGATTGTTAGTATTTGGGGTAGTGTTGGCGTTGAAAAAGTGATGATGAAGGTGTTTGTTTTGATTGTATCATTGTTTCTCCTGATCACCATCCGCCTCACCTCAGAGACCGGGACGCTCTCCTCCTGGAAATATGCCAGTATGTCTTCATCGGTGTCATTGCGCAAGGCTGGGCACCTGATTACCCCCTTGCTGCAATTAAGTGATGAGTGTGGTTTCACACTGACACCGATGCCGGCAAAACTGGTTGTTCCGAGTAGGTTCATCGCCTGTTGTTGGCGATAAACCTCTATAAGGAGATCGCCCGATCCCAATGGCTTAACGGATTTCACATCCCCTGCGATTCCCTGGATGCCCTTTCTCAACAGAAATGTTGATTGAAATAATACAATAAAAAATGCGAATCCGCATTAAATACTTCTTTCTTCACCAAAACTCACCCAGTAATACATATGTCAATCAAGGATATCATTCTCTTTGCCGTCCCATACTGATTTCAAAGTAAAAAAAAAAAAATTAATGGAAGAGTTATGGTTTTCTAACGAAATATAAACTGTTCATTTGATCCAGCTTCATTCTTGGTAGTCGTTGAAAAGACGAATTTTGATAATTGTATAAAGTCTTATTTAGGTATTCCCTTTTCAATATCTGAATCAAAGGTATGTTGTTCATAGTGTAATCGTTATTACATTCCTTCGAAGGAAGGCTTCTATAATTTCAAGCAATTGGTCAGAATGTGATATGCACGATGTAAGCCAAGCATATGAGCTTTCTCAGAAACAGTATAACGACCATCATCCTTATTTACTGATTTCACAGCAGTAATATGTCCTTTGTGATCCTGCAAGAATTTGCCTGCTTGACCGTGAATCCTCTATGATGTCAAGTTAACTATTCTTGAACTTGTTCACCCACCTGAAAACAATTAAAGTACGCGCGTTATGATTAATTTATCTGTAATCCTGTGAGAATTATACGACAATAGCTTTCCATAGAAGGCAGTTTGATATTTATATTTCCGTTTTTTATTGATTTTTTTTTTATATTTCCAACCTGTTAACGCATTTCAAAGTCAGATTTCGCGCGGTCTGTCAACGGGACCTGTTATTGTGACGTCACGAGTACATGCGACGGTTCCCGGCAAAAAATATAGTTTGTGGAAATAAATTCAAAATCATCATTTCAATTTCAACAATTTAATCAATATACTCCACTTTGAGGATATTCACCTTTTATACAACATGACTTCATAAATTGTTGCGAGGTACACTGATCACTTGTTTTTTTTTATCCGGTAGCACGGATGGGTTACCACGAGGAATGCGTTTTGCGACATTTATTTTTCGTGACGTCAATAATACACTTAACATAATGACGTCATGAACATGTTCTTCATATCACTACACCAATGGGAATTATGTGAGAATTACTATCTGATATCTTTCTATTTTGTTTGGTAAGGTTATATGGTGGCAAAGCAGAGCAAATAAAAATATAACGTATGATAAGCAAAACGTATAACGTATGATATGCGTAATGTATAACGTATGATATGTGTAACGTATAACGTATGATAACCGTAACGTATAACGTATCATATGTGTAAATTATAACGTATGATATGTGTAAAGTATAACGTATGATATGTGGAACGTATAACGTATGATATGAGTAACATATAACGTATGATATGTGTTACGTATAACGTATGATATGAGTAACATATAACGTATGATATGTGTAAATATGGTGGCAAAGCAGAGCAAATAAAAATATAACGTATGATAAGCAAAACGTATAACGTATGATCTGCGTAATGTATAACGTATGATACGTTACACATATCATAGGTTATACGTTACGCTTGTCATACGTTATACGTTACATATATCATACGTTATACATTACGCATATCATACGTTAGACGTTTTGCTTATCATACGTTATATTTTTATTTGCTCTGCTTTGCCACCATATTTACACATATCATACGTTATAAATTACACATATCCTACGTTAAAAGTTACACATATCATACGTTGTACGTTACACATATCATACGTACATATCATACGTTATACGGTACAAATTTCATACATTATACGTTACACATATCAGACGTTATACGTTACACATATATCCTACGTTATAAGTTACACATACGATACGTTATACGTTACGCTTATTATACGTTATACGTTACACATATCATACGTATGATATGTGTAACGTATAACGTATGATAAGCGTAACGTATAACGTATCATATGTGTAACTTATAACGTATGATATGTGTAACGTTTAACGTATGATATTTGTAACTTATAACGTATGATATGTGTAACTTATCACGTCTGATATGTGCAACTTATAACGTTTGATATGTGTAATGTATAACGTATGATATGTGTAACGTATAACGTATGATATGTGTAACGTATAACGAATGATATTTGTAACGTATAACGTATGATATGTGTAACGTATAACTAATGATATTTGTAACGTATAACGTATGATATGTGTAACGTATAACGTATGATAAGCGTAACGTATAACGTATGATATGTGTAACTTATAACTTATGATATGCGTAACCTAAAACGTATATGTGTAAGTTATAAAGTATGATTTATGTAACGTATAACGTATGATATGCATAACTTATAACGTATGATATGTATAACTTATAACGTATGGTATTTGTAAATTATAACGTATGATATGTGTAACTTATAACTTATGATATA